ATGTTGTTGTAAAGGTGGGACATGTTGGAATAAATGAATATGTTGACTTCGAGTTGACTTTGTTTTATTCCAAGTCTTACACGACTTTACATATGTTAACTTTGTGTTGAATCATTCTTTGTCATTTGAAGTTTTAAAACGCGCGTTTTGGAGACACTATAACAGTATACTATGCATTTCTATACATAAAAATTTACTTATAAATGTTCAATACCTAAAACCTCATTTTCTCATCTCATAACCAAATTCTTCTCTCTCTAAAGTTTTGTAACACACTATATTCTCTCTCTTCGATCTCGACCAAAATGAAGATACGTGTTCAGTTGAAAACATTATTGTTATCGATGAGTTGACTATTTTCATGTCAAATTTTAATGTTGGTTTTTATAGTAAAAATAGTGATTAAACTATCGATGAAGGGGGCCTAAGTACCGCAGCAAAGCCTTGAAGATTGTAGCATCTGTCTCGGATAAATTATGCGTACATATAATATAATCTATTTGAATTTCAATAAATTAAAAGAAATATTATTGAAAAATTATGTCAAATTACAAGGAATATTGAGACGATCGGCTTGGTGGGTGATAACAAGGATAAATTAGAGGTAGTTGGAGATCTTGACCCGATCAAACTCATCGAGGTGCTCCGAAAGAAATTTAGTTGAACGCAATTAGAGTCGGTGAGTATAGTCGAAGTCAAGGACAAAGACAAAGACAAAGACAAAAATGAACCTCAAATAACTTGGATGTGCTCATGTGGGATGCCTCATCAAACTCCGTTTTGCCATTGTTACCTTAGCCCCTACTCTTTCTATTGCATATGGTAATTCATGAAAGTAATATAAATCTCTCTGATATAACCTACGTATTATTGTTTTAATTTGGAGCGTGAAAATTTATCTATATAATTATTTTTCGACATAGATTATTTCAAATGGTACGTAGATATGTATCGAAAATTCAAAAAAGTTGTAATCGTCAATAATATAGACCAAAATCATCCGCCTATATTTTATAGATTATCTCCAAATTTTTTAATGTTATTTTTCGAAATTCATGGATATTTTTTTAAACGCTGTGTAATAACAATTTCATCTATGCTAACGGTAAAAATATAATCGACAATTTAGTTATTTTAATTTCAAAATATGTGACAATTTAGTTTTATCATATTATAATTTAATAAAATTTCTTGTAAAAACGTACCAATAAACAGAAAAATAACCAAATTATTTACAAATAAATGCTAAATTGTTTCGTAATAAAAGTCGATTAATTTTGATATATTTTTCATGGTATAATTAATTTGTTTTAAATTTAAAAGTAAATGAATTAAATATTTTAATATGAAAGATATTATTTGAGATCATTAGGAGAAATATAGTTTTTTATTTTTTATTTAAAAAAAATACTAATTAAGGATGACCTGGCAATGGTCGTTGCCAGCCTGGATCTCAATTCTTGAAGACCTGGTCAAACAGCTAGTGCTACAATTTTAAGAATCAATGTCGTCTTCGTCCACAAATCGTTAAAATAAAAGAAAAAAAATCAATATTTTAATTTTAGTTTTAAAATTTTAATATATATATATATATATATATATTTGATATAGGTACGTTGCTTTTATATGAAAAATAGAAGTGGCACATAAAGTAATCTCACTATTGAAATAAGGGAATACAAACACATGTAATTCAGGATTAGAGATATATCGTTAAAATCACATAGATGTGGCCTCCAGTCTGAACAAAAATGGATGTGTAGTACTTTCCTAAACACCACGTGTGAGCGTGAGTTCACTGGACGGTTTGCATACTTCTTGGGCCCATCATAGTTGGGCTAGTTATATGTAGTCGAACGTCCGAAGATCAACAAACTGTCGAATATCATGCAAGGCATGATGATGATCATGATCATAATGTACTCGTTATCATAAATAGAGAAGTACCCTGATATAAATCAACACACAGTATTCATGAGGTCCTTATAGTTTCTATCTTAAATTGTTCTTATGACACAACCTTATACATCATTCACATATTACCCATGCATTAGCCTTCATATATTCATCATCATTAACATCATTTAGGGTTGTGTCTAAAAAATCTCTTATCATAATGTGGCATTTCATACATGCACATCATTTCAATATGAAATATCATCATATTGAGCCATATTGTCATCATGCATCATCATATCATCATAATATTATACATCATCATAATATAACATCACATTATACTGACTCACATCATCATAACATCGTGATATTATATAATTTCACATCATCAACATCTGCAAGGGTCATTGGGCACGTGTCGTCATACATAACGCAAGTCTTTCGATCGAGCTATGAGGCCACTTACTTGGATCTCCTTAGTCGGCATTTTTCCTAAATTTGAATTTGCTAGATTTCATCCCTGGAAGTTATTCCAAGTATCGTCGAGGTGTTCACCCTATTAAGAACAATCACCTAATTTCTTTAGTAATTCTAGTTTCTTAGCTCAATTTAATTTGAATTGAGAAATCAGACCCCATATTCCTTAATTACCTAAGTAAGGTCAAATTTAGCTCTAGGAGGGTAAAAAACGTAGGAATTGGTGTAAAAAATGTCAATCCGAGCCAAATGATAGGTTTTAATCGTTGGAGCTGAGCCGAACTAAGGGAAGTCAGTGGCTACAGATAGGACATGTGTCAGTGGGAGAGCTTATGCACGTACAAGTCACAAGTCGGGTTGAGGCGTGGGTCTCAAGTTACTTTAACTGGTGCGCGAGTCGCGACACTAGGCTGTATATGCTATCGAGCTACATGTTGTGCTGCTATTGGGCCAAGTGTACTAGTCTTTCGTTTGAAATTAATCTACGCTTCGCCAACGATAATACCACACTGAATATCACGACGAAAAGCTTCGTTTGACTTACCATGGTGTGTCCTGGCTTGTTGGTAGCCACTTAACGTGTATCGTTCATCATAGCATTGGTCGGGTGTCTCAGTTTCACCGGCATCGTATTCCGAGGAGAAGGTTCGTTCATCGTTCCCTCTTGTTATTTGTGTCTTACATGCTCTAGATATTGAATGGAAAAGGGCATGACTGAGCGATTTAAAAGAGGGAAGACGTTGATTAAATTGTATGCGGGATATTCGTTTGCTCTCGTCGAAAATCTCACTATTTCTAACAATAGTGAATCACTTATTATTATTATTATTATAGCTGTTATAAAGTATCTGTATGAACCATGGTCTCAATCCTGAACATGAGTCTATTACAAAATTGGCATATTTTTTTTTTGGTCGGTTAAAGTAATAAATTATACCGTTCATTAAATATTTAAAAAAAATTTAAAATACCCATTTTCATATATTTAAATATTCATTATAATCCTGAATTGAATTAGTATTAAAAAAAAATATAAAAATATATTAGAACAAAGACGCATTCTTTCCAACTGTTCATTCTTAAAATAATAAAAAATAATAAAAAAATATATTTTTTTTCTCATCTTATTATATAAATGGTCAACTTAATCTTAATTATTATCCATAAGTGTAATTACTTTCTTAAAATAATTATTTTTATGGTAGTTGTATGATTATTTTAATGGAGAGTAGCAAACACGAGTCTTTTTAATTGCCAACAAAATTATATTTATATTTTTTATGAGGACTAAAATTCTATTCGCCTCAGAGCGGGTAGCTTAATTTTTTTTAATAATAAGACATTAAAGGTTGTTATCGGATGGGTACGGAGTAGAATAATACAAAACGTTAAAATATCTAAATCTCAAATCTCCCTTTCGTCACATTTATTATAAAAATAAAAGGTAAAATACAAAATATAGATCAATATGAATATTCAACATTACGTAATGTTAATTCAAAGTTTGAAACGTCTTTATCGATGTTTAACTAAACGTTTAAGCAATTTTTCATTAATAACATATTATATTTTTAAAAATATTTTATCGGTTTACTTTTTACGATACGATAAAAATGTGATGTGAAATGTGAAAATGTTTTAATATATTGGTCAATTCATTAAAATAAAATTTAATGTCAAATTACCGTTATTTTATTCCATTTTAATCAATTGAATGTGGAAAAAAAAGTAATTAAAATGATACATTATGTCAAATTGGAAATTATGGTATAATATTTTAAAATTAAAGTGACGTCAATAATATGATGAAACTGTCATGGTTGTCCTTTCTTACCCATGGTTAGGGTTAGTTTGAATAGTCATCATTTCAAAGTCGTGTCGTTTTGGTAAATCACTTCAACCTTGATATATTTTCGATGCCATGAAGCTAGACTAATGGGTTGTTACGCTTTCTTCAAACCCACCTCCTGGTTGTCGTCGCTCGATTACTTCCTTTTCCACTAAGTGATTGTTTAGGGACCTCAGCATACGATCTAAGTTGTTACCCTCTCGACTTTGGATCTCAGCACCCCAAAAATCTGTATCTACAAATGATCTACGCCTGTATTCGGAGTTTCCTTAGAGTTTGCAAGGCAAAATGGTAACATTTAAATGTTTACATCGCTTCGTGCTTAAGATTTTAAATCTAAATTTGACCGTTGATGGATCTGACATTGTTGTTTTTGTTAGTATAGGTCATAACAATCTTTTTTTTTTTTTGTTAGGATCGTACAACTCACACACTCAATTTAAATGAAGAACATAAAGAACAAAAGAGAAAAAAAAAACAAAGACAAATATATAAGGAGACATCGAGATGAAAAACTACATGACGGTTTTTATATTTGGTGTAATTCATTAAAACTTTATTGTAAAAGTTATAATATGATTTAGACCAAGGTGAGGCCTAGTTGAATTAAATGATTCAGTTAGCTAAACCTACACCTATATTTTATTCCAAAGTCTTACACGGCTTTACATATATTGACTTTGCATTGAATCATTCTTCATCATACTATATACTAAATATTTCTATACATTAAAATTTGCTTATAAATATTCAATACCTATAACCTCATTTTCTCATCCCTCAAGCTCATAACCAAATCCCTCTCTCTCTCTCTCTCTGAAGTGTTGTACGGACACTATATTCTCTCTCTTCAATCTCAACTAAAATGAAGGTACGTGTTCTGTTCGGTTGAAAACACTAATGTTATCGATAAGTTGACTGTTTTTATCTCGAGTTTTGACGTTTGTTTTTGCAGCAAAAGATAGTAATTCGAGTGTCGATGAAGAGGGGGTCTAAGTACCGTAGCCAAGCCTTGAAAATTGCAGCATCTGTTTCGGGTAAGTTATGCGTATATATAATACAATTTATTTGGATTTCAATGAGTTTAAAGGAATCTGATTGAAGAATGATGCAAATTGCAGGGGATATTGAGACAATTAGCTTGGTAGGTGACGACAAGGATAAAATAGAGGTGGTTGGAGATCTTGACCCAATCGAACTCATTAAGATGCTGAGAAAGAAATTCGGTTGTGCTCAGTTGGAGTCGGTGAGTGTGGTTGAAGTAAAAAATGAAGACAAAAACAAGGACAAGGACAAAGACAAGAATGAAAATGAACCTCAAATAACTTGGATGTGCTCATCCGGGGTGCCTCATCAAACTCCTTATTGCTATTGCTACCATGGTCCCTACCCTTCCTATTCCATATGGTAATTCAAAGTGATAGTGATTCGTGAATTCAAACTTGTATGAATCAATAAAAATGTAATGAAAATACGTATTTAATCTCTTCGACATAATATACGATTGTTCGCCTTAATTTAAAGTGTAAAAATTTACGTGAATAATTATTTTTTGACGTAGATTATTTCATGTACTCGAAGTAAATATTAATTTGCATGTAGATATGTATAAAGTTATATTGGTATGACGTAGTTTGAAAAGATTTATTTTATAGGGGTAAAAAAGTAATATAAAGTAAACAAACGTCACGTATGTAAAAGTAATGTTTTTCTAAATAAAAAAAAAGAGTTAAATATTAAAAAAAACAAAATTTTCGAAAAGAATTGAGTTAATATAATGGCTCATTAAATATTTGTCCTATTTGTGTTTTCCCTCGATTTCCTCTCAAGGTTTTTAAAACACGTTTGCTAAAATTTTAGGATGTTTCATTTTTCTCTCCAATCGATGTGGTCACAATCCGCCCCTCTTTGGGGCCCAACGTCTTTACAGGCACATTGCCTCGTGTCCACGGATGATTCATTCTCCTCCCCAATTGATGTAGTCACAATCCACCCCTTTCGAGGCCAGTGTCTTCTGGCTCTTTAGGGTTCCTTTCAAGGTTTTTAAAACATGTCCACTAAAAAGAAGTTTTAGGATGCTTCGTTCTCTTCCCCAATTGATATGGTCACGATCCACCCCTTTTAGGGTTAAGGATCCTCAACTTTCAATTTTATACACGGTAGAGTGATGAATTTATAACCATGAAAAAATAATGTAATGTCAATTACAATCATTTTTTTGGTTTTAGAGTTTGTTTTCCAACTTCAACTACCTTAAAAAAAACATTATCTTAAAAATAATATATGTTTTCTTAATTTTATATTAAGTTATACACTAAATATAAATATAAATTTCTAGATTTTAAAAATTTTAATTTTTACTTTGAATTTACTATTAAAAAGAAAAAGATTGAAAATTAATAGATAAATAAATAAATAAATAAATAAATAAATAAACAAACAAACAAATATATATATATATAAAATCAATTTTTACGCAACAAAGATCTTTTGGATAATTTTAAGTTATAGAATTCAAAGTAAAGATTTAAAATATAAATTTGTTTAAAGATTATAATTGAAATTTATTTAAAAATTTATGGGTATTTTATATAATCTAATCTAAATTTTATATGGAGGGTAACGAGAAGATATGGGTTTCAAAGGGGAAAGCTTGATTTTTTTTTTTAATTTTTTAAAATTTGATAATTTCTCGAGATTGTGGGTATGATCTGCTTGAGAGAATTGAAGGCGTAATGTAGAACGGGAAAGTGAGTTGTTACGGTGGGGGGTGGGGATAGCTTCTCAACGTAAGTCTTCTCCGATTGAAACGGAGGAAGCAAAGAGAAAGTGACAACGCCGCTGCGGATATTTCTTCGTCTCTAAATTTATTTCCATTTCAAAATTCCCAAGAAGATCTGTTTTTCTCTGTCATTTTTGCTTTAATGGCGTTTCTCTGTCAAATAATAGAAACCCATTTTCTCTTCCCACAAAGTAGGAATAAAAATAGCGACAATGGTGGGAGGAGGAGGATAAGGAGGGTGGAACGTGCGTGCCTTCCAATCTTCATTATTCTTCTTCTATTTCTTCTTTTAATCATCAATCATCAATTAATAACCAACGAATTCAACTTTTCTCCACCGCCCCTCTTTCGTTTATGAAACCTGAATATCTTACCCATTGACCCACTCTCTTTGTTGTCTTCTTCCAACGTTTTGCTGGAAATTTTGCCTTCTTTTGTAAGCATTTTATTTAACCTTCAATCCATTTCAAGAATGGGGAATCATTGTTCCAACCCATCTTTCCAATGGTCTGTTCTGTTTTCCTTTTAGGGTTTATTTCTTTCCTTTTCTGGGATTGTTATTCTTTTTTCTCTTGAAATGTCTTAAGGATTTCAATGCCATTGATGTTTATATTGAGAAAATGTATGTGGGTCACGATGATTTTGCGATTTCTTCTGAATTTTAGTTAATGGGTTGTTTGAGCAGATAGGAATGGACAGTGATTTGAACAAAACAACTTACTGTGGGAACAACTTTGTTGCGCTGTAATTGTCGTGTCTGGTGATGGAAATTTGGCTGCTGTTGTGCCCCAACGTTAGTCATGGATGGATTTAGGAGTAACGACAGCAAACAAAACATTGACAGGCATTCCCGAGCCGAGGTCTTTGTTTCTGTTCCTATGTTTTTTTCCTGTTAATTTGTAATCATCCTTTGGCTTCTTGTTTATACCCTTAGATGTCGTTTTTTTGCTAAGCATGTTGTTTGGTGCGGCAGATGGGATCGTTCGGCGAGAGAACCATACTTGAATTTGAAGATGAGAGCCTTGTTAGTCCTGTATCATTAAATAGAAAGAATTTTTCTATTGAGCATAGTTCGTCATTGGGTGGTGGTTCGCAGAAACTTTGTTATGGAAACATGAAGAACAGGGTATTTCACAGCATTAAGGTTGTTGTCTTCTCTGCTAAGATCAACTTTCTCATGCCTTTTGGGCCATTAGCAATATTAGTCAGCAGTTTGACTGGTCACCATGTGAGTTATCTTTCCACATGTTTGTATCAATTCAAATGATCTTATTCCATTTTGTATCCATGGCTTATGTATGTGCATTTCAGGGTTGGGTCTTCCTTTTAAGCTTGTTGGGGATCATACCTCTTGCTGAACGTTTGGGCTATGCAACTGAGTAATGTTTCTTCAATCTTAGATTTCTTGTTGTAGTTGTGCATTTGTACAATTTTTTTCTATTGAACTTCAATGATATGCTTTGGATGAATCAATAGTTTTTTGGACACTCGGGTTTGATTTCATATCCTAAAGTGAGTGTGATACTATTTGGGAATTTTTTTAGTTTTTAGCTGTGAGGTCCTACATTGGTTGGAGAGGGGAACGGAACATTTCTTACAAGGGTGTGGAAACCTCTCCCTAACAAACGCGTTTTAAAACCTTGAGGGGAAGCCCAAAGAGGACAATATCTGTTAGCGGTGGGCTTGTGCTGTTACAAATGGTGTCAGAGCCAGTAACCGAACGGTGTGCCAATGAGGATACTGTGCTCCCAAGGAGGATGGATTGTGAGATCCCACATTGGTTGGAGAGGGGAATGAAGCATTCTTTATAAGGGTGTGGGAATCTCTTCCTAAAAGATGCGTTCTAAAACCTTGAGGGAAAGCCCAAAGAGGACAATATCGGCTAGTGGTGGGCTTGAGTTGTTGCAAATGGTATCAGAGCTAGTCACCGGACGGTGTGCCAACGAGGACGCTGGGCACCCAACAAGGGTGGATTGTGAGATCACACATTGGTTGGAGAGGGGAACAAGGACGCGTTTTAGAATCTTGAGGGGAAGCTCAAAGAGGACAATATCGGCTAGCGGTGGGCTTGGGCGATTACATTCGCACTTCTTAAGTGACCCGTTTTCCGTTAACACTGGATTGATGCATGAAAACATGACCCCCTATGTATAAGTTTTAGGTCTGCTTTGCAATTCTTTCTGCCTCAAGGAGCCTTAGTGCTTTAAAAACACTCATTCTGCCCCAGGGTGCATCCCTGCAGCCAACTGTCTAATAGATTTGACTAGTAGCCATAGGTCCAACAACTGGTTTGATTTGTCGAAGTTTCATAATGATCAACTAAGTAACCATTAATCTCCCAGATTTCCTTACCAAGTAAATTTAGAAAGGTCTGTTCATTTTTGGGTTATTGAGTATTCATTATAGATGTCTTATAGAACGATTTCGCTTTTGATGCAGACAACTGGCATGCTATACTGGAGCCACAGGTAATGAGATTTGAAGTTGGGTTTTACATCATGTATGGAGTGTTTTGTTTATACTTTTCAGATTTAACATTAATAGCTTCATTTTTTAACTTTGCAGTTGGAGGTCTTCTGAATGCTACTTTTGGAAATGCCACAGAATTGATAATATCAATATACGCATTGCGAAGAGGAATGATACGCGTCGTTCAACAGTCATTATTAGGTTCAATTTTGTCTAACATGTTATTAGTACTTGGATGTGCCTTCTTTGCTGGTGGAATTGTGGTTTCTAAGAGGGAGCAGGTCTTCAGTAAGGTTTGTTTTTACAAAAATAGGAGTCTTCTTGGATACTGATTGCTTACTATTTTCTGTTTGATTTCTAAAGCATGTAATGGGTATGATGTTTTCTTGTTTTTAGGCATCTGCTACTGTAAATTCTGGATTGCTGTTAATGGCGGTAATGGGACTTCTATTTCCTGCTGTTCTTCGTTCCACACATACAGAGTTGCACTCTGGGAAGTCAGAGTTGGCTCTTTCAAGATTTAGTAGCGGCATTATGTTGGTGGCATATGCTGCCTATCTTGTTTTTCAGTTGAAAAGCGATAAGAACTTATATCTCCCCGTTACTGAGGTTAGGTGCTATGCTTTCGTACTCGATCTCAACAGCACGAACTATCTATCTTACATTCTATTTTATAGTCTTTTTATGCAAATTCCATACCATGGTTGTTTCAACACGAACCCTCGGGTGACAGAGTCTGAGTTGAAAGTCTTCAAATAAGTTGTGAATTTTGCTAGATATTGTAGTTTTCAAGTATCATACCATAACGGCCCAAGTCCACCACTAGCAGATTTTATCCTCTTTAGACTTTCCCTTTTGGGCTTCTCTCAAGGTTTTTAAAACGCGTCTGCTAGGGAGAGGTTTCCATACCCTTATAAAGAATGCTTTGTTCTCCTTCGCAACTGATGTGGGATCTCACAATCCACTCTCTTCGAGGCCCAGCGTCCTCGCTGGCACTCTTTTCCTTCTCCCATCGATGTGGGACCTTCGATCCATCCCCCTTTGGGGTCCAGCGTCCTTGTTGACACACTGCCTCGTGTCCACCATACTTCGGGGCTCAGCCTCCTCGCTGGCACATCGCATGGTGTCTGGCTCTGATCCCATTTATAACAGCCCAAGCTCACCGCTAGTAGACATTATCCTCTTTGGTTTTCCCTTTCGAGCTTTCCCTCAAGGTTTTTTAAAACGCGTCTGCTAGGGAGAGGTT